GGCTGGCTGATTTGGTTGACACATGTCATCATATCCCAACTGCGTACAACGATGCTCATGATGTTGACCACTGGATTGTCTGCGGCGTCATACAACATACCAACCAACCATTTACGAGAGAATCATTGTGCGAAGTCAGATATGAGCGAAATGTGAGTTGTAACATCACTTTGGAAACAATTTTGGATGTGTTTTTCACAGTCACTGATAGTATTGTGGCTGTAAATATACCCCAGATATTCAACTGAACATGTTTAACATAAGAAATGCATAGAAAGGTTTATTTATAAAATATATTGAACGAATATCTTAGTCTTCAGTGTACTACCGAACAGAATATTCTCTCAGCTTCCTATGTTCACCGTAAGAGCAAGCCGGTGAGCATCCATAGGCGGATCCAGAGGGGGTGCAGGGGTGCGCACTCCCCTTTTGTCCTGAAAGTTTATTAAATGACCATTGAAACTCTCGTGAAAATGAAGTGTGCACCCCCATTTTCTCAAGAGTGTTCAACCCAACCCCCCTCCCTTTCTCAAAAAGCTGTATCCGCCCCTGGCATCTGTTATTTGTGTGTCGTTTCATCTTGCTATCAATCACCGGTTTATCTGGTCCAGTCTTATTTCATCAAAGATCATAGCAGGGGAAACCGAAATTAGGCTTCACACAATGTGTCCTTGAGGGCAATCGAACCCAGGTCTTCGACGTGACGTACGAACACTTTGACAACTTGGCTACCCCACCGATCCGTGCCGTTGTCACAAATTAGACACCCACTCAAACCCTTTGAAAATAAAAAAAACATGTTCCAAACATTTAAAAATATTGAAAGTAATATAAGACTATTAGGTTCAATATTTTTTCTCTTTGTTAAATAGACATAGCTATGACGCGGGCCTCGGTGGTTAATTCGGTTGGATGGTAAGGTTTGTTGGTTGAACAAAGGCTCTTGTATCCCGTACTTCTCGAGTTACCAAGTCTTGACCCGACACAGGAAGTGATGCACCATATTGACTCTATATACGTTCAATGGTGTTTTTTTCGGATGCTTATACCTCGGCCCCATAATACCTCAATAGTCGTGATTCTTTTTTTGCCGATGGTGATTATGCTGGCTGTATATTGCCGACGGGATCATATTCAGGGTTTGATGTGCCTTATCTTGCTTGTCTAAACTTTCAACAACAATCCAGTTAGCGACATCCACGGAACAGTTTGCTTAATATTGTTGAAACCCGTGCAACATTAGACGACAGTCACAGGCAGAGACGATAGCCCCTCGTAAATGTTATAAGCGGTGAACTAATAGCTAAAACATGCCTCTACTGTCTGTGTTATCAGAGCACTCGAGACGAACACACACTTGGGTAATGTTTAGATAACAGGTAAATTCATTATCTCCATTATTTATCATTAAATGACTACCGCTGTAATAGCATAAACCGTTTTGGGTAAATACAAGGAAATGATGCCATGTGAAGACTAGTAGTGGTATGGCATATACATCATTTGGGGCACGGATGGGCAAAAGGTGTGCTCCATGTAGCCAGGGATCTGCTTGTCGTGGGTTCGAATCCACAATTCATCACACATATGATCCCGGCACCGTACACTTGTCACCTGTCAACGACCACTTCGGTTGTTGATGGAGCAGTGGGGTAGCCTAGAGGTTAAAGCGTTGGCTCGTCACGCCGAAGTACGGGTTCGATTCCCCACCAGGGTACAATGTGAAGCCCATTTCTGGTGTTCCCTGCCGTGATATTGCTGGAATACTGCTGAAAGCGGCGTAAAATTAACTCACTCACTCGGTTGTTCAGATCAGCCCTGATGTAACTAAAACACAGCTCAAACCCCACTCATTCAAATACCTCACTCAATTAATCACTCACCTATATTAAATCAGAAGGGAGTGAGTGAGTGGGTAAGTAATGTGATATGCCGCTTTTAGCAATATTACAACAATGTAAACGGATGTGTCAGAAACCGGACCAGAAATATTGGTGAATTTATGAATTTTGTTCAACAATATTCATGCTATATATAACCTAAGTCATAGGCCAATGACTGAAAGCATTTTTGTGTGTTTTGGTCGTTTAACGCCACACTCAGCAACATTCCAGAAGCGGTCTGTCAATAATTGTGTCTGGGCCAGACAATCCAGTGATCAACATCATGAGCATCGATCTACGCAAATGGGATGCGGTGGAATGTGTCAACCACGTCAGCTTGCCTGACCACCAGATCCCTCTTACGGACTGAAAGCGAAACATCGGGCAAGTTGACATGCGATCCATCGACTGTCAAACATTGGGGCAGAGTAAACGGTTTTCTTAAATCCGTGTCCACATCTACCTAATCCTTACCTAACTTCGTCATCCAACTTCCTCAGGAACCTTCAGTTGCTCACATTGATGTCCCCCTTAACATTAACATTGCCCCCCGCATCTGACACAATACCCAATACCCAAGACACCAGCCTTCAGTTGCCCCTATTAATTTACCCCTTGGCATCCACATTGCCCCCCGCATCTGACACAATACCCAAGACACCAGCCTTCAGTTGCCCCTATTAATTTACCCCTTGGCATCCACATTGCCCCCCACATCTGACACAATACCCAAGACACCAACCTTCAGTTGCCCCTATTAATTTACCCCTTGGCATCCACATTGCCCTCCATATCTGACACAATACCCAAGACACCAACCTTCAGTTGCCCCTATTAATTTACCCCTTGGCATCCACATTGCCCCCCGCATCTGACACAATATCCAAGACACCAGCCTTCAGTTGCCCCTATTAATTTACCCCTTTGGCATCCACATTGCCCCCTGCATCTGACACAATACCCAAGACACCAACCTTCAGTTGCCCCTATTACTTTACCCTTGGCATCCACATTACCCCCCGCATCTGACACAATACCCAAGACACCAACCTTCAGTTGCCCCTATTAATTTACCCCTTGGCATCCACATTGCCCCCCGCATCTGACACAATACCCAAGACACCAGCCTTCAGTTGCCCCTATTAATTTACCCCTTGGCATCCACATTGAACTCTATATCTGACACAATACCCAACACACCAGCCTTCAGTTGCCCCTATTAATTTACCCCTTGGCATGCACATTGAACTCTATATCTGACACAATACCCAAGACACCAACCTTCTGTTGCCCCTATTAATTTACCCCTTGGCATCCACATTGAACTCTATATCTGACACAATACCCAAGACACCAACCTTCTGTTGCCCTTATTAATTTACCCCTTGGCATCCACATTGAACTCTATATCTGACACAATACCCAACACACCAACCTTCAGTTGCCCCTATTAATTTACCCCTTGGCATCCACATTGCCCCCCGCATCTGACACAATACCCAAGACACCAACCTTCTGTTGCTGTCTCATAATTTACCCCTTGGCATCCACATTGAACTCTATATCTGACACAATACCCAAGACACCAACCTTCAGTTGCCCCTAATAATTTACCCCTTGTCATCCACATTGAACTCCATATCTGATACAATACCCAACACACCAACCTTCAGTTGCCCCTATTAATTTACCCCTTGGCATCCACATTGAACTCCATATCTGATACAATACCCAACACACCAACCTTCAGTTGCCCCTATTAATTGACCCCTTGGCATCCACATTGAACTCTATATCTGACACAATACCCAAGACACCAACCTTCAGTTGCCCCTATTAATTTACCCCTTGGCATCCACATTGCCCCCCGCATCTGACACAATACCCAAGACACCAGCCTTCAGTTGCCCTATTAATTTACCCTTGGCATCCACATTGCCCCCAATGCATCTGACACAATACCAAGACACCAACCTTCAGTTGCCCCTATTAATTACCCCTTGGCATCCACATTGCCCTCCATATCTGACACAATACCCAAGACACCAACCTTCAGTTGCCCCTATTAATTTACCCTTGGCATCCACATTGCCCCTGCATCTGACACACAATATCCAAGACACCAGCCTTCAGTTGCCCCATGCCCTATTAATTTACCCTTGGCATCCACATTGCCCCCTGCATCTGACACAATACCCAAGACACCAACCTTCAGTTGCCCCTATTTTACTTTACCCTTGGCATCCACATTACCCCTGCATCTGACACAATACCCAAGACACCAACCTTCAGTTGCCCCTATTAATTTACCCCTTGGCATCCACATTGCCCCCGCATCTGACACAATACCCAAGACACCAGCCTTCAGTTGCCCTATTAATTTACCCTTGGCATCCACATTGAACTCTCATATCTGACACAATACCCAACACACCAGCCTTCAGTTGCCCTATTTAATTTACCCCTTGGCATGCACATTGAACTCTATATCTGACACAATGCCAAGACACCAACCTTCTGTTGCCCCTATTAATTTACCCTTGGCATCCACATTGAACTCTATATCTGACACAATACCCAAGACACCAACCTTCTGTTGCCCTTATTAATTTACCCTTGGCATCCACATTGAACTCTATATCTGACACAATACCCAACACACCAACCTTCAGTTGCCCCTATTAATTTACCCCTTGGCATCCACATTGCCCCCCGCATCTGACACAATACCCAAGACACCAACCTTCTGTTGCCCCTATTAATTTACCCCTTGGCATCCACATTGAACTCTATATCTGACACAATACCCAAGACACCAACCTTCAGTTGCCCCTTATTAATTTACCCCTTGTCATCCACATTGAACCCATATCTGGCACAATACCCAACACACCAACCTTCAGTTGCCCCTATTAATTTACCCCTTGGCATCCACATTGAACTCCATATCTGATACAATACCCAACACACCAACCTTCAGTTGCCCCTATTAATTGACCCCTTGGCATCCACATTGAACTCTATATCTGACACAATACCCAAGACACCAACCTTCAGTTGCCCCTATTAATTTACCCCTTGGCATCCACATTGAACTCCATATCTGATACAATACCCAACACATCATTGTCATCAACCACTTTCAGGAGATATCCCTCTACCACCCCAGCCCCACAAACGTTGCTCACCTCTCCACACGTCGACCAAGACATATGCCGTGTGGTCGTCGGGAATACGGCCGCTGTACACGTAGTGGAGGACTCCAATGAAGGCGTGGACAGTCATGTTTTCCACTGGGATTGCGCCTTTCTGAGAACATATACCAGCTGTAACACACCCATCTTGATTCGAGTGGTTCAAATATTGTTTTAACTGACAACAGATACAATTCAGAAATGAAAGAGTACTTGAGTTCAAACTGACCAAAGGTGCTTCTGACATCATGACCTTCAATCTAGGTGACCGGACCGACAAGATGGCGCGGTGGGCGTATACCTCGGTACCCTTGACATTGAACACGACGTCGCTGGTGTCTTTGTCGTTGACGAGTTTGGCAAAGTCATCAGCCAGTGCTGATAACGAGGGTGGGGGTTCTGTCGGTAGATGAAACAGATGGGCAATATCTGAGAAATTACTGCGATAAATATATACCCAAGTGTACTAATAATGCAACTTCATAAACATTATACAATAGATAGGTATAAGTAGACCTAGTCATTAGCCAACGGTGACAATGAGGGATAAGTGTCCGAGTAGTGTCACAACATGAGCGAATGTCGTTATATGCCGCATCACGGGGACATGTCTGGTGCAAGCATACAAGGCGTGAGAAGCGTTGTGCCTCACAATGCCTGCCGCCAAGGATTCTTTAGTCCACAAGCACGAACCTGTCTTCTATTTCTTCATATACAGGAGACAACACGTGGGATTCAAACCAGGCTCTTCACTGTGACGAGACAGGACTACAAAATCACTGGACCGATTGCCCACTGGAACACACCTTAGTGTTTTACTGACTTTAAGATTATAATGTATGGTGCATTATGTTTAAGTCTGGACTAATCCAAACATCAACATGCATTTATTCTCGGCACTTTATAAGTAAAACATTATTGACAACACGTTTAACCCAATTTCACCCAATCATTTTAAAGAATTGCGTCACGTCCCACATTTGGGCCAAACATGGTCGTCCTGACATTGTTTGGAATGTGGCAGGTTTGGTATAACAGGGTCGAACTATATTTCAGTTCATACATCCATAAAATGTTTAAGTCTCTGCCCGGAACACCTTGTAGTTGCTTTCTTTGGACGTCATTAGTTCAACAGTACACATATGAATACTAAGGTTGATTTTCCGCCGGGCAATACATGTAATATTGCCATCGCTTTCAGATATTCTTCACACGTATTATCGTTAGGGGACGAGACTTGCAAGCTAGGGTCTAAGGTGATGAATGCACTTGTGTGACTGTATTGTCTTACCAGATTTTAACTCCCTGCCCACCAACAGGACGGCGTCTATCTCGACCCATGACCGCGCCACAGAACAGTCGACGTCAAGTCTAACCTCTTTGGTCTTGAAGTTGGGGGTCTGGAATTGTAGAAAGAATGTGTTTTCCCCATAATTAATAGCAAAAATATATTTCAGTTTTTGAGTTTAATAACAACATGAGAAAGATGATGGTACTTTTTACTGTAATGATTTGACATTATTTCTAGTCATATACACCCATGAAAACCATTATGCCACAGTCAACAATATCCCATCTATATGGCGGCTGGTGGCTTAAGCATAGACTAAGGCTTAGTTTCTGAATATATATAATTTTGATAGTAACAAACAAGCCCATTTAAATTGAGAAGGAGCCCTAGGGAGACCAGAGAACCTGGGGAAATCTAGACTTGCTTCGTTTAGGGATTTAGCACTACAGGGAAGGCTAGTCTGTAGGGGAAATAATGTGGTTCAGGGACTGTGAGACAGACTAGCTTAAGCAAAACGATGTCAGTTATGATAGCACATGGTCCACCAATTAATGCATTCGTCGGGAGACGGTTTCATATTTCGCCTCGGTATTCCCATGATCCCGTCCCGATAGAGCATTTGTAAGAATCAACATAAGATGAACATATATCATTGTCAAATAACGCTGCATTACCGATGTGTCGTGAACTTACTCTCATTCAAGTACAGCTGATGCTTATACTGTGTAGAACTGACATGTATTAGTTGAGGAAGTGGTTAGGGATCTGTTATTTAGACAGAGAAGCATGTCATGGATTTCACATTCTTTTACATAAGAGATCAAAGAGATCACGGTGGAATGCAGCAGTAATCCTGCGCCGTGTATCCCAGCAAGGTGTAATGTAATGACCCATGTCGCTGACGTAAATAGATACATCATCAGTGCCCAAACGCATTGTGCCCATTCTAACATTCAGATAAAAGAAAACAGAACATGTTGACTCCTACATGGATGTCACCTGTGTTAACCTCTTATCTAAGGTCATATTTCACCTGGGAACAAGATCTGTGTGATATTTCCCCCATGTATTCCACAGAGCGCCAATATTACATCTGATCCCACAGGATCAATGCACCATTTTAACATGGTGTTTTATAGGACATCATATAACATCAAGGGATGGGATCAATGCAACATTGTTACACTGTGAAGAAGAATATTACATCAAGGAATATGATGAATGTGTCCTGCATCATATCACGTGAAATGTTAACCGAAATACAAACTAACATTCACTCGGCTCGCGACAGTTGACCCTGATCCTCTTTGATCTGATCGGAGTAAAATTGCAACCGGACAGCGAAAGTATCGTACAGAATCATGACTGGAACCCAGCAAGGTAGATTGAGAGCCGGTCATTTTTCAACTGCAGCAGAAACCCACAATACAACTTGCAGAAACGTGTTTTATACGTGAAGATATGGAACAGAATAGTTCCGGACAAATACTTCAGATCAAAGTGTCATTCTGTATTAGGACAATGAAACATCGTGAGGTTCAATTCCATTATCCCAAAATATCGTTTAGTACGAAATTTCCTTAAAGAATTCTTAACGGCATGGTTCCATAACAGAACAACGCCTGTCTCGAAGCATTGTCGGCTTTCTACGTGTTACAGAGGTTCTACTGTATATGTGAGTGGGCCGGTACCGAAACACACCTTTATGTCGAGGGAGAAGATCCTACTGGCTTTAATCACTTCTACCCCTGACGTCTCCCAAACCGTCTCCCACGTGCCCTTGGGGGATCTCACAGACACCCTCTTCACTCCCCCCGCGTTGAGCGTCTCGTAGATGTTGATGCCGGACACGTATACGGCAGTGTCGTATCCTAGCTGCAAAGGAATAATTTCAAATCAAATGCAACTATTCAACCATACCTGTGAATAACACTGTTAAACTGAATGAACTTTGGATTGGGTATCCAAACATTCTTGTCAGTGATCAAATCTTTGATTATATAATATACCTAACTATTAACGAAAATGATCATGAAATTCGAATCATCGTGCAGAGGATCCTGGCACAACCAAGAGAATCAACTCTGCAATGACACAATGGAGCACTGAGTCACTGGAGCGCAAGTACTAAGGTTAGCAGATTATGAAACTCCCTCAGTTCACTACCAGGGTGCAAACCCGTGAAGATCTGGGTCAGAACTAATCTTCAGTAACCCATGCTTGTCGTAAGAGGCAAATAACGGGATCGGGTGGTCAGGCTCGCTGACATGGTTGGCACATGTCACCGTGTCCCAATTGCGTAGATCGATGCTCATGCTGATCACTGGATTGTCTGGCCCACACTCGATTATTTACAGACCGCCACCATATAGCTGGAATATTGCTGAGTGCGGCGTAAAACTAAACTCACTCACTCACTACCAGGGTGATGTTGTACAAAACAACCTTAGCGCTAAGACTACCTGAAGTCCATGTTAAGGTATGGGAGTTACGGTCAGCTTAACGCTAAGATCGTTTTGTACAACGGCACCCTGGTCACTACCATGTTTGGTTTCACTGACCTCAATAAACTGTTTATTGTCGCATATAGCTTGAGCCCATGCCCCCTGGATATCCCCGTAGCGAGGGTAGACACGGGGTTGACCCACTACCACACTCGCAGGCCACCTGAATGATAAACACACTGGAAATATTAGTCAACATTCGAGGATGTATTATGACGCTCTGTAACGCACCGAGAGTTACTCTTTTCGACTGATTGTGAGTGAGTGAGTTAGTGAATATGATATGTTTTTACGAAACTTTTAGCAATATTCCAGCGATATCACGGCGGTGAACACCAGAAATGGGCTTCATACACCGTACGCAGGTGAAAATTCGACCCGGGTCTTCGGCGTGACGAGCGAACGCCTTAACCACTAGGCTACCCCACCGTCCCAAGTGAGTGAGTGAGAGACGTTTAGCATCTTGAGTTTAGGTTAGCTTCAGCAATGCTTCAACAATATAGAGGCGACAAAACAGTGTAATCTAAGGTCCGTTGAACATCCCTTGACATATAATATGATCCATAACGACCAGGGACGCACTTCACCATCATACAACACAGTACAACTATACAACACCTACTTTTTATCTTCACGTGGTCCAAAAGGCAATATTTCAGGCTAGGGATCATAATTTCACGATGGCTTTTGTTGTTTGGTTTTGAAAATAAATTTCATTTTATTTCCTACAAAAAGTATTAATCTTAAAGGGAACCATTTCTCAACATACTGTCATGAAAACAATTGCGTGAATTTTTATCAACAGGGTGGGGGTTGGGGGGGACAAGCGCAAAAGGGACAGAAAAAGCAAGAAATCCGAACAGGTGGGGCCGAGTTACCTCCCCTGTATAGTGTTTACATACGTGTCAAAACACAACACGGAAGTACGGTAGAGATATACCAAGATATTTTAACGTCTTTCGACGCGACTGCATTAAACAGTCTCTTATGAACCCATATGTCCATCGTTTCACTGAAATGATTCTTCGATATGAAATATCTAAATACTACAGGTTATCAACAAATGAACGATGTCTTTGTAATAGCTTTCTCGGACTGTCGATCTGTCAAATATTTCACAACAGTAAACGGTAGGTTCATAATGGTGACTGGTGTAATGCCAGTTCATAGTTAAACTAAGGCAGCAATAGCAGTAGGTATAACACAGGAATGGTGTCAACATCTGGTCAATATCTGACACAACAGTAGGTTACAGCGGTGGTCAGTGCCAGAAGTACGTACCCGTTGGAGTCGTACTGTGATGAGAAGCTGGTCACTGTAGCTGCCCACTGCTGGAGTACACCCGTCGCCGCCATGTCGGTACTGGTCATTTCCCCACTTACTGTTAAATACTGGCAAACAGTCCTATATTAATCCGACTTACCTGGTATGTGTGGTCAAGAATGGGGAAATCGATTACAGGTAATCACACGTGGCCAGGTGTGTTATGAATGCGTTGTTAATGGAGACCGTGTGTGATATGGGGGCGTGGTCTGTTCCCGATTTTCCGACTTAATTGATGTCTTGGTAATTCAGACGTTCTGCTTCGGTTCGATTCCCGGATGGGACTCAACCCAACAAAAGTACTAGAATCTGTACTTTACCGAGAAAGTGTAATCTCAAAGGTAACATGTGTTACTTCTGACCATTGACTAAATGGCATTGTCTATTCATAGTTTTGTGTAGGGTTCATTACAATTTGAAATTCCTGTTTTGTCGAGATGACATGTTTGTAATTCATTAAAAGCATTTGTTTTTGTCCAATTGATTAAAATAATGCATTGTTTTTATTGTCCATATAATAGATATATTGGCATGAGTATAATAGTATGACCAGAAATTATTGAGAAATTTAGGAATATGTTTAATTGGATTTCTAGTATAAACAACCTTGACCAGCTATCAAGTGCTTGGTTTCATTCAAGAGAGACAACTCCGTTAATCCTTATTCATTAGTTTGTGAAGAGTTATCCCCAGCTTGATTTACTTGCTAGCAGACGACATTTTCAAATTGATATGGCATCCAGGGAGGCTCAGTATGGATGATTTAGAGGAGAGGAAGTTGATTTTTAAGAGTATTATGACAAGGACATCAGATCAGCTAAAGTGATTTCAAGAGGTTAGAACAGGCATCCCTTTGTCCACTGTTTATCATGTTTTGAAAAGATATTATTGCAAATGGATATGGCATTGAGCACCAGGGAGGCGCAGGGAGGCCCAGAAAATTGACTGTCGGTGACAGGAGGCGGCTTGGTATTCTTGTTTCTAAAAACAAACGAAAGAGTTTAGAAAACTAACGGCTGGATATCATTGATAGAGGAACTGTGGCTGTCTGTAAGGAGACAATTAGAACTGAGCTGCATGCAATGGGTTGGCAGAAAAGTCGAGGAATTCCATCACCGATCATGAAACCTGAACAAAAGGGCAAAGGTTGAACTGGTGCTTACAGCATAGAAATCTTAACTGGGACAATGTGATTTTCTCAGATGAAAGTTGTGTGTGGCTGTTTCCTAATACACTGAAATTCTGGACCAAACGAACTGAAAAACCTTTGTATCAGCGCCCAAAGTACAGTCCGAAATTTAACGTGTGGGGTGGCATATCTGTGTTAGGGGCAACGCCCCTCTGTTTATTTGAAGGGAATATGAACAGTGAGCGGTACACAGATATTCTCGAGGGACATTTACTTCCATCTGCTCACGTGTTCTATGGAAATGTTTGGATTTTCCAGCAGGACAACGACCAAAACATCGTTCAAAGCAGTCACAGGCCTGGTTTCGGACCCAAAATATGACATTATTAGATTGGCCAAGCTATAACCCTGACCTTAATCCAATAGAAAATGTTTGGGGACTTATGAAGGAACGTGTCAATAAGAAAAATCTGACAAATATTGCTGAAATGAAAGAAGAAGAGGTGGTCTAATATTGGGACAGCATGGACCACGACTTTCTAACTTCACATTTAATACGTGAGTAATGAGTGAAAAAATAAATAAAATTACAATCTTTAAAATCTCAATAATTTCTGGTTGTACTGTATTTTACTGTGTCACCTCGAATCACTGGCGATGATCGTTTGACTCGAACATCTGGATCTCTTGAGACAAATATGTCTACATAATCTACAACTACCAGACCAACTCCAAATACACACGTCTCGATATATAGATATAGTCAGTTTATTATCATTATTTTGACACTACTAAAACAAAAAGAATACAAAACGTCTCTTAAACGTGTTTTAATGTCTTTGTCAATGTTATTGCCTCAGTGGCTGCTTTGGGATACGCAGATATGACAAGTTAGTGGCTGCCATTTGGTGTACTACTTGTATTGGTGATCAGATGTGAAACTGTTTTCCGCTTGTATGATCCCTGGAGCTCTTCACGTTGCCAGCGTCACATCAACCTCGACACTCTTCATGGTACAGCTGTCTCATCACCGGAGGGGCGGTGGGGTAGCCTGGTGCTCTTCACGTTGCCAGCGTCACATCAACCTCGACACTCTTCATGGTACAGCTGTCTCATCACCGGAGGAGCGGTGGGGTAGCCTGGTGGTTGAAACGTTCGCTCGGCACGTCGAAGACCTGAGTTCGGTTCCCCATATCAGTACATTGTATGAAGCCAAATTCTGATATTCAGAATATATTGTTAAAGCGGTGTAAAACTACACTCAGTCACTCGCTCATCACAGGATATGAAGAAGTCAATATCTCAAAATAACACTATTATCGCTTAAAACTGTGATCTGGTTGGTTCCATCCGACTTTAGCTATCATACAGAGAGGAATTTATAACGATTTCCTGTGTCTGTCCACCGCAGTTCGTGAGTTTCGACTTGGCTGACCTTACCAAACGATGTCCGCAGATTTAAAGGTGTCCTTGTAGTTGACGAGTTTGACGAAGTCGTCGGCCAACGTTGACAACGTGTGTGGGGTTCCGTCGGTAGCTGCGGTCTTTAGGAATGTTGGAATGTACCGCCGTTGTTGTATGATGGAAAAGAGCAATCTGTATCATCCTACAACAGAGAGCAATGTACATTTAACATTCAAAAATGCAACGACAATATTTCTACAAAGAGAAACCTTGACTTTTTGGGGTCCTTTAAGAATGATCTGGTAAGTTGACATTACTGACCAATGCACTGTTGGTGTTAGTTTGATCAGCTAACGGCGATGATACAAAGTATATAGACTACAAGCAGACTGTGAGCCTCTTCTACAAAGAAACGGTAAATCTTTCTGGGGCAATAATAGTGAATATTATGGGGTCACAATGTGATGGTGAATTGCTTTGGTGGCAGGGAATAGTCGGAGTGAGAGTCGGTTGGTGGAAAGTTTAGGGTGACAGTGGGGCGATGGTGAGTAAGTGAGTAAGGTGTGTGTGTGTGTGTGTGTGTGTGTAAGTGTGTGTGGATGTTCCGTGTGTGTGTGTGCGTGCGCGTGCTTCCGCGCGTGCCTATGGGTTTTCTTCCGTCCACTGCTTTGCAACTGTCCTACTACTGTAGTAAGCCCCTATCCAAACTCTGCTATCAATGCTGTGTACTTTTCCCATCAACTTAAAATAGTTTTATTTGTAAACGAAAGCATTTGCGAGTATCCCAACACGAGCTGAATTCGACGTTCTGGTGATTTCGACGATTGCATTGCACCCGCTATATCGGGGGAGTACGTGTGCGATCGGAGTGCACAAACAGTTTCACTGGTAGGGCGGGTGCCAAGTCGCTGTTGTGAGAAGTTTTATTGACAATGGAAATCGGGAAGTAAAGTTATATAAAAAGCAAACAAACATCAATATTATTTACCCGAGATCGTTAATACCACTTACGATGCAAAATCAGTTGTCTATATAACTAAAAATAGAAAGCGAAAATTTAGTTAGATCAGTCGTCTGCTGGTGACAGGCAATATATAAATAGGAAGCCACGTGATCACAACACTACCTCGCAGTGCGGAGCAAAAAGTATGGCTCATCGTCGAAAACCCATACAAAATACCAGCATGTTACGAGCGGCAACAGTTTCGCCGATACGATGCCATCAACACTATATTTGTAGGGAACACTTGATATTTTTATGTGAAATAGATGAATATATCCTATATCACTCAACGTTAGTAAAATAAAAACTTTAAATGGTATCACAGATAAAAAATACGTTTTTGCCTTACATCGTCGAAAACCCCTGACACCGGGATACCAGTTACAACCGTACAGCAAAAATGTGTATGGTCTAAGGGAGGTAATTTTTGTGAAGGTGGGTATGAATTACCTCCCTTTGACCACAAGACGCGTAAATAATCATGAAATTTAATGATTTTATTGCTGCATGCTCGACACTCTAATGAACATTGAAAACCATTTGATTTTGTTAAGTACACTATCGTTTCGCTGCGTTAAAATATGAGAACAATCACTTAAATCGGTTAAAGTAGACGTTTATGAACACATGTATCTATGAAACGTCATAAAATCTAGTCCTAAGTGTTTCCAAGGGGGGATAACTCTGTCAGTCTTATTGTTTTGCATCACCAGCAAAACAGGTCTTGTTGAATTTCAAAACACGAATTAAAAAGCGGTTAAACAAGTCGAATCATGAAGAAAAATTGTATTTTGTGCGAAATTGGAATTCTGAGTAAAGAAATGCTGTTATTTCAATGACGGTGACATAGTAAAACAGCCAATTTATCTACGTTTTCAATTACTTGGCGAAAAGCAGATAATTTGATGTTATGGAAGAGAAAGTTGAAATAGACAGAGTAATACGATAAACTATAATTAATAACGTGTGTCAATCATAACGGAAATACTCACATGCATACTTAAGTCAAGTGTAGTTGCAATAAACTGCAATAGACTTAAACTGAAAACAAAAACAAAACAAAACAAGAACAATATTTGAGACAAACAAGAATAACTTCTTTAAGTGGCATATAGAAGCTGGTATGATGAAGAAGCTGGTATGATGAAGAAGCTGGTATGATGAAGAAGCTGGTATGATGAAGAAGCTGGTATGATGAAGAAGCTGACATGATGAAGAAGCTGACATGATGGAGAAGCTGGCATGATGAAGAAGCTGGCATGATGAAGAAGCTGGTATGCCATATAGAAGCTGGTGAAGAAGGTGGTATGATGAAGAAGCTGCCATATAGAAGCTGGCATGATGAAGAAGCTGGTATGATGAAGAAGCTGAATATGCCATATAGAAGCTGCATGATGATGAAGAAGCTGGTATGATGAAGAAGCTGGCATGATGAAGAAGCTGACATATGAGAAGCTGGCATGATGAAGAAGCTGGTATGATGAAGAAGCTGGTATGATGAAGAAGCTGGTATGATGAAGAAGCTGGCATGATGAAGAAGCTGGTATGATGAAGAAGCTGGTATGATGAAGAAGCTGGTATGATGAAGAAGCTGGCATGATGAAGAAGCTGGCATATGATGAAGCTGCTGGTATGATGAAGAAGCTGGTATGATGAAGCTGGTATGATGAAGAAGCTGGCATGATGAAGAAGCTGGTATGATGAAGAAGCTGGTATGATGAAGAAGCTGGTATGATGAAGAAGCTGGCATATAGAAGCTGGTATGATGAAGAAGCTGGCATGATGAAGAAGCTGGTATGATGAAGAAGCTGGTATGATGAAGAAGCTGGTATGATGGAGAAGCTGGTATGATGAAGAAGCTGGTATGATGAAGAAGCTGGTATGATGAAGAAGCTGGCATGATGAAGAAGCTGGTATGATGAAGCTGAAAGTATGAAGCTGGCATGAAGAAGCTGGTATGATGAAGAAGCTGGCATGATGAAGAAGCTGGCATATAGAAGCTGGTATGATGAAGAAGAACACTTTCTTATGGATAGACAACTTCTTTATTGCAATAGATGCTACGTTTTGGTGTAGATCCTTACACCGTTATCAAGCAAAGGATACACAACATATGGAACAAAGGGAAATATGTAGAAGAATGGTATTTAAGTTTATACAATTATACAATACGAATACTTTGTCTGTCTCTCCCACCCACCAACTCATTCACTCTCTTACTCGCTCTCTTACTTAATCACTGTGTTGCTGACCATCTTGTCATCGACTCACTCACTCACCCACTCTCAGTACACAAACCAAGACGCTACAACAAATGAGGTAATTCATACTGCCCAACGCCCAACACATCTCGACACTAGACCGAAAGTGTCTGCAATGTGATTAAACGCACTAATCTACTTCACCTAGGAAGATAAAAGAGACGGAACCAAGCCTAATGAGACATCACTACCTTTAGTTTCCGCCTAATCTACTTCTCAATGTGATCTTTGTTCCAGCCGAAGACGAATTTTCTTGTATTAATTAAGAGCAGCATTAAAGATTAACGAGTTACCATTTAGAAAGACTCTAATCACATTCTGGCTGCAGTGGAGGTAAAAAATCATTGTAATGTTGTGACTGTATCGAGCATCTTCGGTTGAGATCGGATATCTTCGTTATTTTCCGTAATCTCGTCTGTCGAAGTCTTAGCGGCAGCTGTCAGGATGTGAATTACAAAGTGATGCCATATTATTCCGCGGTATTTTATGTCTGTTTTTTAGTGCATGCTCTCATATGGAGGCAAAAACTCCCAGCAGGACACATCAATCTAAATGAAATATCTTGTTAAACCAATATGCCACATTTTTGTGAATTTCATTTTGTTGGTACATTTTTTTTTTTAAAAACCTCCTATGTTTGCAGGCAAAAAAACATGATTTACTTGTCAGTTTTACAATCATTCAGGAGATGGAATATTGGCCCATTAGGCGAAAATGATACATTTTGTCAGATAAACATGCTTTCTTTGATGCATTTAATGAAGAGGACACATCTAATTTCAGGAAAGGACACGTAAATGGGAGTGGGTGGATAGAAGTGTATAGTCAGTGGGCAGTGTTTCAACTATACTGTGATTAGAATGAGAACGAATTATGCACATGGGACAGAGAGACAGATTGTTTATTGGGACGTGAGCTCTTTCGTAGTGAGTTACAGAAACATTCATCACCCCACCCCTTCTCCAAACACACACGAACGAGCGCACGCACACGCGCGCTAAAAATCTCGAAAACAAACCAGGTAACCACGCTTCATCTGCCGATGCCCGTTTTAACAGCCGCCCCTAACGTTGTTACACGTGGCGTGCTACAGTACAGTCTCAGCCCCTCGTCACACCTGACCAATATGTAATTAGCACTGACCAACAAGAGCCAGCGGGTGGTCAGCTCTTACAATGGTCTTTGAGAGTATGCGTAATTGAATGACCACTTGTGATATTGGCCAATCAACCTTGTCTCCGTCCCTCGGTCAATGCGGTAGCCCCTTGAAGCTCCTGAAGTGATTCGAGAGACTTTTGGACATGTGGATATAGGACCCCAAGTAAACAAACCTCCTCCCCTCGAGCAAACCGTGTGGGCTAGGATATGAAACTAACATATTGCTGTTTGTCTAATCTCAGATATCAAACTTTGTTTAGGCTGGCGTAAATAATCTCTCAAAGGCGGCTAAATATTGAATAATTGATTTTAATTTTCACCAAGTTCTTGATGAAATTCTTTGACAAAAGTTACTGTTTCGATTTCTAAAGGTTTAAAGCAACTGGGTTTTAGTAATTCAGCTTCTAAAGTTCCTTTATCACCTAAAAGTAGACTCTTTAGGTGGAATAAATTAAATTAACGTCGCCAAATATAGCTCATGTTTTTCTTAAAGAAATTGTGAAAGAAAAAAGCCAATATGGCCGCCGCTATGGACCCGCGTTCCTTTTCGATAAGATCAGCGTTATCAGTGAGCTCGGGTTCCCCTCCGTGTTTTGGATGTTTAAATTAGTATGCGGGAGTGTAGGGTTCCCCTCACCGAGGGTATCTGGCGGGTCTTCTTTGTGCCGGTCCCCCGCCCACCACAGTTGTGACTTGAATATAATTGGGGTGTGGGGTGGGGTGTTAACGTTGTGCGCATGTGTGTGTTTGTGTGTGCGTGCGAGAGTAGGGAGAAAGTGGTGGTGGAGGGGGGAAGGAGGGAGAGAAGGAGTAGCCCAGGGAGCAGGGGCCTTATTTCAAATCAACCTGTCAGACCTGCTGTGAAATGTACAGGCTTAATGAATGCCACGGACTATGTTATCAGATGTAGTTGTTAGGCCAGTATTATAAGCAACCCATGCATGTGGACGAAGGCCAGTCTGGGAGGTACAGGGAGTGTGCGGTACACATGCGCATTCTTTCCTCAGCATATACAGGATATTACTTTCCCTACGGCAAATGTTAGAATAATAAACAGTGATACTGTGCTGAAACAAGATTGGGGTTATGTATGTAGCGGTAGATACAAGGCGTGAGATTGACTCTTAACATACACTGTAGTTATATGCTTATAACTGTAAGAAGGTTCACGAATTTCTTGCACCATTAAATCCATATATTTGGAGTCATTTTTAAAATCATCTCTGTATCAGATTCAGTTTGATGATAAAACACAATGCCTATCCCAACTCGCCAAAGACTGTGCTTAATGTGTGTATGAAAGATCCAGATAGTTCGCTGACGATGTTTAATGAGCAGGTTGTATTACTTCAGTGGGTATTTAGACCAATAACGAACCTAAATGGTTAGCCAAAGTGTTAATTGTGGGACAAATCACACTCGTAGACGCTAATTGAAAACACGTTTTGTAAAATTAATAAACCCAGGTCCCCATTGGCTAGATTCAGCGTTGAGGTACCCCAATTCCTTCCTGGCCAGACTGGAAAATACATGCTCCTCCTCGGGGATGATTGACAACAGGTGTCGGGAGCGTGGAAGGGTTAGAGGGGGGGGTGGGGTGGGGTGGGATGGTGGCTGCCTCCCCCCGGGAGACGGACGCACTCAAGGTCTCTATACACCAATACTAAGTGCTGGCAAACAATAATCAAATCTCTGCTTCCATACATGGTTCCTTAAAGTGGACATGATGGGCCCGGTGCTGTGCTTGTCCTTGGTGTCTGCTGTTGGCGTGATAACGATGTATTGTGATTGTTTACATTTGTTGTTGATGTTGCCTTGTATCTGTGTTGTTGCCGATGTTTGTGGGATGGAGTTGTTGTGCGTTGAGGTAGGAGGGCTATGGAGCCATTGGTCAGTTGTGGTGGTTGTTGTTGCAACTGGGATGTTTACTGTAGAGATGACTTTGTCGGTGGAGAAGACAGTGATGTTGAGAAACAGCTTATGGTTTTGGAGATGGCAGTTGTATTGAGAAACAACGTATGGTTGACTTCTTTGATTGGCATTCTAGAAGTTGGGTAGATGAAGGATGAGGACTATTTTTATGGATATACAACTTCTTTATTCTGTATAGGCGACGTTTCGACATAGATTCTAATGTCATTGTCAAGCAAGTGATGGTTTTCAACGTATGGTTGTGTAGGTGGAAGTTGTAGTAAGGAAAAACATATGAAATGGCATTGTTAGTGGGCGACCTCATTGAGGTTAGCCACTCCTCACAACCACATGCCAACCCCTCTCTATTTCCCTGTACTCTAACACTCTCGACAACCCTAGTGTTATTCATCCCGAGAACATGATCAGCCTGTCTCCCCTACATATCATTATAACCATCCCACCCAGTTCACGACCCGTACTGCAACAAACATCCCCAGCAGTGTCACAAACAAGACCCAGCCTGTTTGTTGCGCTGGCGGAAACTGGATGTAAGTATTCACTATCGGCTAACAGGATGGGGTCAAACTTAAACAGCGCAGACGCCCCAACAGGTAATCTTCCCGAGTTGAGCCATTCAGTCGGGTGTATTTCATATGATATTCTTACCGCACAGATAAGCCGAGAAAACTGGCTAACTGATAGCCCCCCTTTATCTGCCCATCAAAAGACACCGCCGGGATGACAGAGCAGCCTAAATAGGACATGGTGGCCAAACATCTCTGTTGTCTCGATTGTCTGAGATTCAAAAGACATTTGTAAGTCGCCTGTCTGTCGTCTGCTTATTCCCGCCATGACAGTTTGCGCCCATGGTGTTTGCCACACCCAGAAGGTACACATGGTCAGTGACATGAGATGGACGCGACTCGTCTCGCAACACGGACCAAGAGCACTGACCCCTGGTCTTTAAATATGCCGGTGAATTGTGCTTGTTCGTTTTGATTTGTGTTTCACTTGAGACACAAGCGAGTCGTTTCCTTTACACGCCAATTTGGTTAACCCATAAACCCAAACAGCCAGTACTGTTATGCGACAAATCTTGGGTGAAACATTCTGTATAAAAATCTATATTATGTAAGTGCTGTACTTTCAATTAAGAACAACCTTCGACTGAAATATTAGAGAAGTTCCAAAATCTAGTTTAATCAAACGAGCAACAAAACGTGACAATAAAAATGGCTGTCATGTTTGCCTGAACGTGATGGAAATTATATCTGAGGCGCTCACAACGTATTATTATGTTAACTAGGAGCCCTCTGTACATTGTTAGCGATTTATATCTTCTGTGGATTTGTTACACCCCATGATCCTTGCATGGTAACCCAATATTAATAAGAAACGTCACGCGAAATGTCACTGCCGTGCGAAATGCAAGGTCCAATTTGCCTGTAGTTTTTAAAACTGTTAACAATCTTGTTATTCAATATTAAATACTCGGTCAACAGTCAGTAGTGTTTTGTGTGCCATGAATACCACTAGCATATTAAACATCGGACAAACACAAATACATATGTTTGGTTTAATACTACAGGAAGAGACTTGCCATTCCTGTTACAAAAGATACGAAAAAGCTATAAGCTATTTTGACAATGCATTATTCTCAGTCTGTGAAACAGATTGTGGCGTGTGATTTCCGCTCTAGTTCGTTTTTCAAGCAGTGTTTTCATCCACTTAAATTGGTCATAACGCACGGATAAAGTTTGATAATACATCAATATACTCGCATTAGGCGTTGTGAAAATATGGGTGTAATATTCACGTAGCCCGTGGGATTATAGCATTCAATACCTGTGTTGAAGCGCATTCTTCTCGCGACCTCTGACCCTTTTGTCCAATCGTGCTGTGAGGACGGGGAATGCTGCGTTCTCATTGGCTGGTCCCGTGAGCCTGCGTTTCTTTGTTCTGCTCACGGGAAGTGTCAGCCGAACTTTCACAAGTAGAAGAGGGTCACATTCACAAATCTCATGCTTGATGTGGCAACATTCGATGGAGTAGAATTACCCTAGTTCACTCTCCGAATACACGTCTTCCTTGGATTACAACTCGGTGTTAAACGAAGCCTCTATCGTCTGCTCAATCCAACATGGCGTCTGCTTGGCGTGTTGGCTGAAGGGTGTCATGGCTTTGAAAATCACCTGAATGAGCCTCTTGTTACTTTGTCTCCTTAGAAAAAAAATCACGGTTTAAGGGCTTCGAAAGAACCACTACCATATAAATTGTCGTTTAATGTGATCACATTTCTCGATAACAATATCCTCCAGTTTAGATTTTAAAATGAATATGTTTCATTTGTTGAGGTTATCTTGACTAATGCTAAGTGTCTGAACATGTATAATTTTGACAGTAACAAATAAACCCATCTAAACAGAAAAGAAGCCCCTGGGAGACAAGATATCCTGAACGTGAAAAATCTAGACTTGATTTCATTTAGGGCTTGAGCATAGCAGGGAGGGCTGGGCAGTAGAGAAAATAATATGTTTCCGAGACTGTGAGACCGACTAAAGGTCACCCAGCTTGTAACGTTACATCAAAGGCATTCGTATATTTGATATTTGTTTCAACTGGTTTTGGTAATAAGAAATCCGCGTTTTACAAAATTCAGTAAATGCAGATTAAACGTTATTTGATATGATTAGACTTGGAAATTTGTAAAACCATAACACAAGTAGATGCACAAAGCATTGTTACGTCCAATCCGTTTAATGCTACTGAAAACAAATAGTGTCATGTCTTATCCAAACATCACTGAAATCATTCTACTTTAAAAGACAACCACTTAGAACTGGCATTCTACTATTGAAGCATCTGGCAGTGTCTAAAGTGGCACTAGAATCGTATATTTATGAAATCAATCAAAACGCCGTCCTATGTGATTCTATTTATTGCCAGAGTAACAGGATCCATTTGCAAACACATATTACTACTCGCCCCGCTTTTGTGTAAAATCTCATCAGCACATTTCAAAATGAGTTTTCTCAAAGTCTTGGGGGATTTCAACCGTCATGAGACGAATTCATTTCAATATTTATGGCATGTGGTTTGAGGATGCTGCAGTTATTGCGAGTTCTCGGCCCTGATTCCCCGCGGGACTTACACTCACTGCGAGCTAGAATTCTATTCAATAAAGCGAGGCTTTAGTTTCTAAAGAGGCGGTGCAAACTCTCGCGCTCAATATGGATATTTAAGGTAATTAAATTAGGCAAATAAAGCTTTATTAATGTTTCAACCGTGACAACTCTGTCGAGGTCAAAAGGTCCCTTGCTAGCCAAGCTCCTGACAACGCTTCGGACAAAGAGGTGTTATTTCTGGATGAGAGACAAATAATATGAATAAAATCTTGGCCAAACAAACTTGATTACCTAGAATTAGATGTATTGGAAGACATTTTGCAATCCTCTTTTGAAAATTAATCACACAGCTTTAATATTTAAATAGAATATTTTTGTCTTTTGTTTGAAAAAAACTTAACTAGCTGCTGTATTGATACCGTCATACAGATACTATCAAGCTGCAATGGGTTGAAATAATCTTATCATATTGAAGAGCATGTCAATGTTTTATGAAAACGAATTTAGTTTAGATGCGAAACAAAGGCTTTCACAGAAAGGCTTTCACTCGACTAGAGAATCCAGGGAGTTTGTGTTATTGATTATCTATCATCAGACATATCTGATATTTGCACAATATAACTTTCAATTCCCTCTAAACCCATGTTTTGAGATGAGTGCAGCTATGGAAGCTTTAAAGGGACATAACAAGAGGTAATGGGGGGAATTTCGGACTTAATGTTCACAATTATCTGTTGGATATAAGGTCTAAACATCACATTTATTGGTATCTTTCAATTAACTGAAATTATATGTTTGAGTGTGAATATTTGGCAGACTAACAGTTGCCATTTCAAATACTCATTAATGTTAGTGGATTATGGGGGCTCTACAGCAAACCATGCTTCATATGAAAGGTTAGAGTGTCACCTGACGCTGTCGTCGTTGACGTCATATCACAGCTGCGTAAATCGGCTCTCTTGAGGTCAATCACTGGATTGTCTAGCCCAGGCCACATTATTTGCTTTGCGCCGTCGTGTACCTGGACTATTGCTCGGGTTAGGCGTTAAACATCTAGGTCTGAAACAAAATATGTGCTCGACTTTAAAAATACTCTTCTCTCAGAGCAAACGTTACCAGAACACCAAAACAATCCCTGATATAGGTTAAAAAGTATAATACTTTATGGATAACAACTTCTTTATTTCTTATGATGCGACGTTTCGGTATAGCTTCTTATACCGTTGTCAAGCAAGAGTAAAGTAATACAGCACAGAACCGACTTATATACATGCTGATATAAGTTGCATTCATTTGGTTAAGGTCGCGGAGTTGTATTGCTATCCGTATTCCGCATGCTGAACCATACAGTGACCTAAGGCATGTAGCTTTGTAAAAGATAAGATAGTGCGATATTTTAGGTCACGCGGTATACATACAAACATATAATCACAATGACAAGACAATTTAAAGATACTGATCGACAATCGTAGTGTTACTTACACACAGGCACGCACACACAAACACACACTCGCGCGCACGCTTGTAAGCAAGCGCACACACAACCACACACGCACGCACATTATATTAGTGAAAAGCTGTACAGTATAGCGTTAGTTTCAATTGACGTTGCATTAGTATTCCCCATTGGAATCTCTGGCCGCTAACACCACACTCACTCACTCACTCACTAATACACACTGGACGCGAGTTATTTATCAAATTGGGTGCATTGTTGTGCTCTGAAATGGAACATAACCTATTCCAACACTGAAATGACAACGCACATTAACTATTTCAATACTGACAAAAGATCGATAACTCTCTTCCAAAGAGGGTTTCTCAAACAGTACAAACCAACTCATTTAAGAAAATGGATCGCTTTTCTTCGAATAATCGACTTTTTATTTCAACCAGTATAACGTTTCGTGTTTAGCACGTGGAGTTTTCGTTTTATTCCGCTTCTGTGCATTTAAATGAATCGTTGATGATGTTTGATTTTCAGACTTGAACGCTGTGACTCACGTGGATGAAGGTCCGCGGTATAAAAACTTCAATGGCGAAGGGTCTTCGGCTCCAAACGAGCGGCCTTGTGTGTGTGAGGCCGGCTCGAGCTGAAGTTATTGATGGCCCAACCTAATGTCATTATCAGTCAGCAAGCTGTAAATGAATTGTCAATTAAACTTGTTAGTCATTTCACCGATGCGGATAATGGCTACTCATTGCACGTGACGCTTCCTTTTAAGGGAAATTACAATGACCACACAACGAGGGAAAGCATCGCGGCGCACAGAGGGCAAAGACCATCTGTTATGTACAAACTACACAATGAGAGTGTCGATTACTTTCTGCCGGAGCTATTATAGACTTTAAAAGTCACTCATAGTGAATATTTAAAATTGACATTTGCAGTTTGAAAAGAGTCGTTAGATAACGCTCGACCGATCGATGTAACAAAGACGCTCTGTTAACAACGCTATATTGTCCATTAAATCTTCTTATGGTATACAACAATTATGTTTAATTTTGCATATCCTTTTGTGTGATTTACGCGTGATTATGATGGATAGACGCTGTTGATGTTGACAGATGTCAGAAGTAAATGGGTTTAATTAGGATGAAATGGACATCGAGATGGAGGATATGGCTAAATGGACGGATAACTAAATGTCAGTTGACAATGGAAGGTTTGTTCCAATACTTAAAAAAGCCGTTACGACGTTAACTTACCTCCGCGAAGGAACCCACTGGCCTAGACTTGCACAAGTCTCTGAGGTAAAAATTAATAGTTTAAACGATAATATCTAAAAAATAATAAATAAAAGACTGCGGTCCTTGTACTGTTCGCTTATCTAGACTTGCCTCTTCGAAGGATAGAATTACTATATATCCATGGGCGAAAATTCAGTACAGCCTTGGAGCAAGGCTATCACTGTACGTACTCTGTACTAGTAACATGTTTGCTGCGATAATCATATCTTCCAGGCGGTCCCTGGTCCCATATAGACTAACACTTAGCCTCTGAATATATATAATTTTGATAGAAACAGATAATCCCATTAAAACTGAAAAGAAGCCCCAGTGAGAAGGGAGAATCAGGAAATCTAGACTTGCTTCATGCAGGAGGACTCGGTAGAAGGGGAAGTAATGCGGTTCAGGGACTGTGAGACAGACGAAGTCCCATATAACGTTCCCTTCCGATCAACCCTTTCTGTTATGCAAAAACAACAACAAAAATGAAGTAAATCTACATTTTGTTCAGGTTTTGAATCTCCCATCTCACTGGGGCTCATTTTCATATTAAATCTTTCTGTTTGTGTTTTTCTATAAAAGCATATATTTTCAGAGATGAAGCCTTAGTCTACCTTATCACTGTCTGTCGTAGATCATAGAGAACAGATTTATAAAATAGGCCAACTCAAGTTTATAATGACTGAGATGTTTTCTGGGACTCTGTGGTGCTCTCAGTAAAGGATATTGATTTTGTAGTTATTTATAATCAACCATATTGAGCACCATAGAGAAACCATTACCCCAAGTCACGCTATAAGAACAGATAGGTTTTAGCTTATACGTTCTGGAGTTATATTAGTTTCTGTTTAAGAGGGGAAACACGTATCACTGTGATAAATTAATTACAAGCTCCTAATTTTCTTCTCCATTCTGCTAATAACCCATCCCTACTTCCCACCCTAACACACAAACCATTACACACACAGGCGCTGCCCCCGGGTTACTGGTACACCTGGGCAGGTAGCCGCGAGGACGTTCAGCGTGACTGATTCAATATTTGGCACTAGTCACATCAAGCCCGACAAACGTGAATGAATGACATTTTGACACCTAGCCAAACCAGCGATTATCGAGATTGTATGTTACAATTTGCTTTAATTACCGTCGGTTTGGTTTAGTGATTGTCCAAACTAGAAACAGCATGTCTGACAGTGCCACGGGGAGAAATAGATGGAGGGGGAGGGAGGGTGGGGAGCAGAGGTGTGTGTGTTGGTTTGTTGTATTAACGTGACAGTGAGTCGGGTTTAACGCCGCTCTGAACGAATCAGCACAGTGCGAGAGGAAGGCAAAACCTGCGC